GCTGATCTAACAGTGACCTAATACAAAGGCAATAGTGGCTTGTCTTTAATGAAATAAAGCATGCATCCCACTTTTTAGCTTTCCTGAGCCACATTGAGGGAAGAGGAATTGCCTTGAACTGCGTATGTGTAGATTGTTCTGAAAGTAATGCTTCCTATTTATTTCCATGGAAAGTACAGTGAATATAAAGAGCATAATAACAGTACTTCATAGAGTAAATTCTCAGCTACAAAACTATTTTTCAACACATTGCACCCCCATTAGCTATGCATTCTCACCAGTGATGAGCAAGAGCCTGCACAGTGGGCTCATGAAATAAATTAAAAAAAATAAAATAAAAAATCTGCCCCAGTGGAGGTGACCCACTGTTGCCATTGCTGAATCATGCCACCCAGTGCCTCACTGTGCTCACATCCACTGGTTGGTGTCCAGAAACGTTCAGTGATCATTAATGAATGTCACTGAGTGCCTTTTTTCTGCATGGAGGAATTCAATCCCACCCCATCGCTTCATCTGCACTTCCATGTCAGATGCCATTCTGTCAGACTGCCCCTCTGCTGCCATCTGTCACACGGCAGCAACGTGTAATGGGATATTGGTGGGAAGGTTCAGCCTCTGCTGCCGTGCCACCAGCATCTGTCTCTTATGTTGTGGACCAACATCATAAAACAAGAGGCATTACTTTCAGAGCAGCTCTTGTAAAATACATAACATAGGTTATGTATATAAGCAACAAACTTATCTTAACCATTTAGTAATTTTTGAAAAACAAACAAGAAAAGGGGCAACAAACAAAATCAGTGGAGTACTTGACTTTGTATTTGTGAAACCAATGCATCAATCTAATTTGATGGCAGGGGCTAGTGAGATCTTTGAAATTCTACTCTTGTGCTTCATCCTTGACAATAGTTGTTCCCAAATGTACGTACCGCCAGAGAGCAGTGCCACGAATAAGGGGTGATGGTGAAATGAGGAGCGGTGGGTGGCTGCTACATGGGCTGGGCCATGGGTGGGACATGACTGAGATAAAGGATGCTGAGAAACTGGTAACTTTGTACGAGTTGTATTTTCATCTGGAACTGTGTGTTGTGCATTGTGCTATCGTTGTTAGCTTGTATCCGTGTAAGTGAGAAAGTAGTTAATTGCTATTCACAGTTTTCGCAGGACACTTCACCTGATGCCACCTCATCTGATTACTACATCCTCCAAGTGGCTGTGAATACTTTATCTGTGAAGCTCAGTGAAACAAGCCATGTAAAGAGCAAGTTACTTTTAGCTAGTCGCTGATTGTTGAAGTAATGTGAAACTTTCATAAATTTATCAGAGTTGTTCGTTGAAACTGGTGGTAAAAACAAACAAGGACTATAGACGTTATTATCCTGCTGAGCAAGAGTTCAATAGAGTCTTTGTTCTTATAGAGTACTTAATTGTAAACTGGGTCATGAAACTGTTGCCTTCTGATTTGAGAGAAGATGGGAAAACACCAGTTTTTTTTAGGACTTGAACTGGTGTTTTGAGTGGTGAATGTTCACTTATTTATCTTTTAAAGTGCTCTTAAATATATGTGTCTAACTTCAAAATAACTTGTTCGGGGTTGCTGGAGAAGTTGGAAATACCTTCACACAAAGCATGCACTGTGCATCTCTAGAGCTAAATCCAGAAGCTAGTGATTACAACAGAACAATGTGAGGGAATGACAACTGGGACTTCATTTGCTTTAGAAAATGTTTCAGTAGATGTTGAAAGTTCAAGGCACTTTCTCTGCTCTAATGGTGGTCTCTGGCTCACAGCTGATGCTAGTCAGTGGAAAAACATATTTTCACAAAGATACCTTTACCAGTGGCTGTTAGCTTGGTCCATTGGTCTTAGTTAAGTGTGGTGTCCTCTACCTTTGGAGTTCTTTACAGTGTTGTTCTGTGTGCTAAGAACAACTGTAGCAGTTGGATATCCCAGACTTGCTGTGTCAAGAGGATGTCTGTACTTGCTTATCTGTTACGTTCAGATCCCCCTTGATACTGAACATGTTATTAGACATCATATTGTTAAAATATAGGACTTAAGGACAGACATACAGTAGCACATCATGGTTTTGACTGGAATAGAATTAAATTTCTTCATAGAGACTCTCGTGGTGCTGTGCTTTGGAGTTAAGGTGAAAGTAGTGTTGATAGCACACCAGTGTTTTAGTTACTGAGCAGTGCTGCACAGAGGCAAGGGCATTTCAGTGAGGGATCTTTTAAGGGGCACAAGGAGCTGGGAAGGGACAGATCTGGAACAACTGACCCAAACTGGCCAAAGGGATGTTCCATACCATGTGCTTAGTAAAAGCTGGGCTAAAGGAGGAAGAAGGAACATTCAGAATGACTGCGTTTGTCTTCCTGAGAAACAGCTACCTGAGATGAGCCCCGCTTTCCTGGGAATGGCTGAACATCTGCCTGCCCATGGGAACCGAACAGATCAATTCTTTGTTATGATGTGCTTGCACATACAGCTTTGCTTTACCTAGTGAACTGTTCTTATCTTAACCCACAAGTTCTTGCACTTCTACGTCTCTGACTCTCTCCCATCCCACCTGGGGAAGGCACGTGGCTCTGTGGTGCTGAGCTGCTGCCAGATAAACCACAGCACAGGAAAAACATATTCAGCTGAGTACTTTAGGGGGATAGCCAAAAAGATCTTTCACGGCTGTCTACTTTTAAGCATAGTTTTAAATTAAAATCTTTATTGCTTTCACTGATGAGTGCTGCCGCTGCTGCTATTATTAATAATGTTATTATATGCTCAGTCCCTCCGTGCTTTTCTTTTTGTATTTAAGTCTTCCATACCAGCATTCCTGGAAGAAGTACCTTTTTAAAGAACCTATTAACTTTAGAAGTGGTTCTGAAAACCTCTTGATGATTTTCCTTTGCTCCTATGCTTCTGCTGAGACATGCCAATGACTCTAGGGAATAGCTCAAAGGGTTTTGTGCAGAAAGCAGACATATCCTGTTAATGACTGTCCCACTGCTTAACTAGCCATAAACATAATTGCTAACCTGCTGTAATGCAAACACATCCTTCTGGCCCAGCAGGGCTGTCTGCAGTGTATGAGGAAGTTGCATGCTTTTCACATCAGAACAAGTAGTCAGTTATGCTGCAGAGAAGCATGCGAATGAGAATAAGGGATGAATCTTAGGAGTTTTCTTGGCTGTGACTGGACTTAAAAGCAATCAAATGCATTTGGCTGATAACAGTCGAATTTACCCCTAGGTCACTTTCTGAGGAAAAATGTAACGAAATGGTCATGGGTGATTTTGAGTCTTTGGAGGACTAAGATACTAATTTAGATTTTAGTCAGGTTGAGCTGCAGCCCTGGGGAAAGATTACGCAGTGGCTGAAGCTTTTTTTTTTTAATTTATCTTTTGTCTGACAAAGCTTTCTCCAAGTAAATAATCCCTTCAACCTGTTTTTCAAAATATGTGATTGGTTGTTTTGTGCTTGTTAAACTGTAGGTGTAACTTGTGCTAATAAATGTGTGAGCTTGGAGAGGCATATTAAATACGTAGAGAGGAGCAATATTTGAAATGAAGTGCAGCACTGAAACAAGAACAAGTAGATGTGAACCACCTACAACTAAAATGAGAAGAATCAGAGCTGTGTTTTATCTCAGGAAGTGGTTTCGGCAGACATGTTCAGTTGCTGCTCAGAGTTCCTCATGTGTTTTGCCAGTTGACTGTTTTGAGTTGCTTCCTATCATCTGTACCAAAAGCAAGTGCTCTCTTGATAGAGGGAGTGCAATACTTCGGGTCAGTTGCTTCATCTACATCTGAATAATAATTAACAGTAAAGATCAAAATTCTCAGGCATCAGTAACTTGAAAGTGCAGCATCAAGTGATTAAATAGCCTTGGCTGAATTGGTTCATTGTGGGCTGCCAAAAGTGTAAGTTCAAAAGCAAGGGACGACAAAGTAATAGGGAAGCAGACATGGGTGCAGATGTTGGTGGGAGTCACAATAGCCACCTATATGGTATCACTGCTTTTCCTCGATGTCAGTGAAGAAATTTGTATTGAGTATGGGTTTTGATTAATCTCAAGTAGGTATTTTTGCTCTGTGTTGTCTTGTCAGTATGCTTAACAGTTGCTATTCATCAGGATCCCTGCTGGGTGCTTTTTTGTCTCACTTGTGTGTTAACTTTTCTAGCAGATCAAATTCAGTCTACAGCTCATACTTTTTTTTTTGGTAGTAAAACTTGGCCAGCCAGTCTTGTTCCTTAACTGGAAGACTACTGTCTTTGGTAATGACATAAATTAATAGTCTATGACAAAACTATTTAATAATTTATGCAGTTGCATCACAGTCCAGACTGTCTTAGTCTTCATCCTGCATTGCCTCAGGCTTTGACCTCACAAACTAAACTTCGTTGTGCTTGGCTGGGATGGGAGAAGTCAAATTCAGCGCTACAGGAAATACTAGTGATGCGGTAGATGAGGTGACACCTCTGAGTGAATGTTTTTCCTGTGCTACAGACTGGTAAAGGTGGGATGTAAAACAGAGATTCTTTGTTAAATGTTCTATGCTACTCCTGGTAAAAGTGAAACTTGATTCAGAGCTCATCTACTCCAACCCTTCCCCCCTGCCCCTGATAAAGCAGGTAACATGCTTAAATGGTTGAGTGCTCCCTATGCGTCCAATTTCTGTTTTAGTAGGATTGTTACACTCTTCCTTTGGTATTAAGCTGAACTTAAAGTGGTTGTGAAGCTTTACCTTCCAGAAATGGTAACTTGTTAACAATTGGCAACAGATCCTTTTGCCAAAGCAGCAGTCTGTTTTGAGGTCTTTGCAAATCAAGGGGATTAAACTCATGTAAGAAATGTCAGCTTTTCATTTTTAACCTGACAGATTTATTTTTTTTTATTTTTGGCTTTGAATATTTTCAGAGTATTTATTTATTAATTTTGGCTTGAATATAAACGTTTGCTACATGGCCAAGTGTACTCAACTTACTTCTTTTTTTCATAGGATTCAAGTGCCCTGTATGTTCAAAATTTGTATCTTCTGATGAAATGGATTTACATCTCGTGATGTGTTTGACAAAACCAAGGATAACCTACAATGGTAAGAAAGAAGTAAGCTGATCATTATTTCTTTATTTTAAACCTTAGTGTAAATAATTTTTTATTAAGATACTCAAGTAACTAATACAATTGACTCAGAAATAGCGTGGTTTTATCTGTAGTTAATTTTTTCAAAATAATTCTTTTGAATGTGTAAAATACATGAAATACATAAAATTATTCCTGGGTGTGTTTTATTCCATTCTTCATCACAAGGTCAGATATTGATCAATGTCCATTTAATGTCCTTTCTAAAAAAAGTTGATGTATAAATAACCTACAGTGCTATGGACTCACTGACTTCCTTATTCCTTTGCTTTTATGACATCTTAATTGTACTTTGTCTTGGAATAAGTCTTGAAGGATGGTTTGGCCCATCTTGTTCTTTGTCTGGATAGCAATAAAGCATTGGGGACACTGGAACAAAACATTAACTGCAAAAATGATTTGAAATCATATAGTTGTGAAATCCATGTCAAAGTGCAGTATGCAGGTAAAGTAAATACAGATTTATTTATTTTTTATCCTGTTGTTGCAACATGTGTTTGAGGAGGTTTGCTTCATTTAGCAGAGAGTTATGTTTCTTTTTGATCTGGTGGTGGTTGTTTTCATTTAGATTTGGATCGAACAGTTTCCAAGATAGGTTTTTAGAGAACTATGTACAGGGAAATGTTGAACATAAGGGAGAAGCAGACTAGGCAGCCCAGTGAGGGAGGGACAAAGCACGTAGGGTCAGTTTGGATGGAGCAGGAGGAGGCAGGCTGGCAGAGAGCAAGCTCTGGCTATAATCCAACTCATGAGATGCGCACAAATTACAAGCTGACAGACTGAAATCCTTTGCCTCCACTGCTTCTTACACGTACATGCGAGCACATTCATCCAGTGAACATTTTTGTCCAAAGAAACAGCAATTGCATAACAACCTCTTGATATTTCTGGTTGTGTTCCATTGTACCACAGTGGTGCCATATTCAGCCTGGTTTTTTTCCTGCATTGTTTCTCCCAGCTGGCCCACAATTAATTGGAGCTCTTTGAGGCCATCTTGTTATCTTTGCGTAGTCCCCTCAGACAAAAAAGAAACAACAACCCATCTTTAAAATGAGCAGAAATAATCTGCAAAGTGACAAAAGTCAGTTGTGGACAGTATAGTATGAGGTATTATCTGAAACGTGATTTGTTAAATTAGGGCAGTCTCTTATAATAAGAAGTGGTGATATAAGCTTGAAAGGAGAAAACTACATACGTTGATTTGAGAGACACTTAACTGGAATTATAGTTTCATTCTCATAAACCCTTAATAGAAATGTGCATTGATCCTTTTAATTACAGTTGGTTAGCTTCTGGACCTTCAGACTAAATCTTACAGTATAAAGTTACTTATTATACTGCAGTGTAAAGAAATTAATAATGGCTTCAGAGTTGGGTATCACTCAGTAATTTGTGGCATAATTGGGATCCATTTAAAGAAATGAATGAAAGAATGAGAGAAAATTAACTAGCAGATCGATAACTTGACCAAATGCTTATGTGATTACAGGCCTAGAATTGTATATGAATACCTAAATGATTGCATTTTTTCCTGTATTTTTGCTGTTTGCCAGTATAAGGAGATCAGTGATGGATCTGTCTTTTTGCCATAAGCTATAGGAAGGGCATCTTGAATTTTGCTTGCAAGAAGAAAAAGTGTTGCTATTGACTTTTGATCTCTTTCCCAAAGGGAATCTTAATCTCTTTATGCTTTACTTTCTCATGGTTATTTTGGGCTCTTGCTGGATATATTCAATTAGACCCATGTAGGCATCATTTGTTTATGTTGGTCGCTGATGGTTTCCTGTTTCTGTCTAGGAGAGAAATACTTACATTTCTTTTACTTGCTCTTCTCTCTTCATCTTGAATTGAAAGTAGCTGAAGGAAGCCTTAGGCTTTTGGGGTTTGGGAGATGTTTTAAAAATTGGGCAGTTGGATTGAACTGTGTGTATATCTAATTCTGTACTGGTTACATTTCCTCGTACTGTAAGTGTATGAAGATGAGTTGTTCTTTCTAGGAAATGTCAGGGAGCAAATTGTGCATCTTGTGTGATTTTGAGACAGGCGTTCTTTTTAATGCAAGCCTAAGGCATGTCGTCTTCACCAGAAAATGTCATAAGACTGTTTAGTTGTGATTTGAAGCTCAAAAAAAAAAATGAAACAAGTCCTTACAGGCTATTTCTCATTGCTTTCTGAGCTACCTTTGTGTTCTGCTTCTGGCCGTAGGAAGAGCCAGTGAACAGCAGTTTGTGGCAGCTGGCTGATTTTTCATGTTTTCTGAAAGAGTGGTCACAGATTTGTCCTAGTTCTATGCTGGAAGTTGTTCTGATTTTCATATAAATAAATCAGTACATTTTATTGGCCTTCTTTTAAAATCATACGACTTCTCTCCAACAGAGATCTCATTGATTTCTCAGTTTGACATGTACTGAGAACTCTTTTTTCTGTGGAACTTCGTTCCAAGTGTCTCTTAAACTACTTGTGGTGCTCAGACCAGTACATTGTTGTTCTGATACAAAAGCTGTTTACATGGGTGAATTGTAAAACATTGAAAACATTGTGGTGGTTCATGTTAAAGCAAGGCTGTTTAAGACAGTCTTTAGCCTTTAAGAATCCTCTTCGTAGTGTTTTTTGCTGAGCTTCTGAGAAGACCAAATAGGTCCTGTGCACTGGCTAGCCACAGGTTGCTAGAAGCCACTTTTATGGAGAAAGTGGATTACTGGCTAGTTGACCTGTGCCTTTTGTCGAGTTCTTTTGCTCTGTGTGTTTGAGGGGGAGGGGGGGATTCTGTTGAAAACAACTGCTAACATCATACACAGCTGTAGCACTTCTCTTCAACTTCTCCAGGCACGTCTTCTCTTTCTTGTCTGCAATGGTGAGTGACATGCAGGGCTCACTTAGAGGCAACTCTCAGAGGTGCTGCTTATGGAGAGCCCTCTTGGCCTGGCAGAGCTGTTTGCTTGAGTAACACTCAGTGCTTTGGAACCAACATGCCTTGACCTCTGTGCATCAATTGCGTCAATTCCAGCTGCTGAGACGCAGGTGATTAGACTTAACCTAGTGAAGTGTATGTTTTGAATGCAATTGTTGCTTGGTGTATTTACAGTACGGGTACACTCTTTCGTTGGAAGACATTTAAAAATGAGAAGACCCAAGCGAGAGGGCTGCTGGTGGCTTAAAGCAGACTAATGTTAGCTCTCCTGCAACTAACGCTGCTGAATCCTTTTGAACAAACCTTGCAGCTGGTTCTGTCTGAAGTAATTCTGTTTGTCTTTCTGAAATGCCTTTGTTTGGTTCTCAGGACACTTTGTAAGACTTTATTATTATTAAAGGGCCTCCCTGCCAGCAGGGACTAGCAGGCTGGCAGCCTGCCAGCTGGGGAAGCCAGTGACCCCGGGAGCTGGGAGAGCCAGTCAGCTCCCTGCCTCCTTGGCTGCTCGGCCAGCCGGCCTCTCCTCTCTCAAAAGTTTTCATTGAATTAGCACATTCCTGTGGAATATTTTGGGTTTCATCGAGTCAGCACTTTGCATCGGAACGTTGTTCTACTGGAAACTTTCTCAGCGGGCCTCCTTAGAGCCGTGTGCTCAGGGTAGAGCTGCTTGGCATCAGCGCTGCTTTCTCTTGGGCTGCTCTGTGTTTAATTCAAATATGGCAGTGGGTCTGATTAGCAGCCAGGATATTTACTGAGCTTTTTGTTCAGGAGGAAAACGTGTGCTAGACTGATTTTAGGGAATGTTAAGAGATCCGTTGCACAAGCTCCTGGAGGATTTTTCATGACCCAAGGTAACTGCTTTGCAATTTTTCTTTTAGGTTAGCAGGGCTTTCTTCTGAAGGGTGTAAATACAGCTAACTCTAAAACAGTTTAAAAGAGGAATGATAATACTGTTTGATGTTTGAGGCCTGCATGTGAGTGAGCTTTGTAATCCTGAATTGGCATCTGGCAGAGCAGTGACCTTGTTACAGAAGTTATCAACGTCTACGTAACGACTTTAGCATATGCGTTATGATCAATGAGAGATTGGCATAAATCATCCAAAGAACTAAATACAAGTATTTTTTCCAAATATTCTTTGGGGATTAGACTTTTTTTTTCCTATCGCAAGTTGTATTGGTTTTGGTTTTGTGGCTGTTTCAAAAGCTTTGGTTTTGAACTTACTCAGCTGATAATGCTCAGTAGAAGGGAAGAGAAAGATTGCACCTTAACTTAGCATTTGAATCACTGAGATCTGTGATTCTGGTAGTTCTGTCTCTGCAATGATGTCTTTTCCTTGGTTACATCTGTGCTGAAAAAAAGGAGGGTATTTTACCCAGCGGCTCTCTCTCCTGTTGCTCAGAAAACATCAGTGTGAAGAAAATAAGAATTACCAACTTCAAGTTCATGTCCCTGCCAGGATTCTCAGGGTATGAGACCATACCCTAAGAGACCTTGCAAAAGGGCATGGTGCCAGTCTGCCTGGAAAAGCTTAAGCCATCCTCCTTGTCCTCATCCTTTAATAGGACTAGACTTTCAGCAGAGCAGTACAGAATAATACCAAGGCAAAGCAGTTCTTTCATTCCAAGATTTGAAATTCTCCTTAGAACTTTTCAGTTCTTCCATTCTGGAGTTGAGAAATATCCTTGGCTTAGAGTTTCTAGCTTCTTATTTTGCCCTAGGAGATCCTGCACTCTGTCCTTGGGGTTGTGTTGTGACAGGCAAAGAGCGCACTCTGCACAGTAGGACATGAACAGACACTTAGCCTGTGTCTGCAGTTAAAATAGTGCCTTTTACTTCTGTTTTGATCATGTGTACTCATTAAAACCCTCTTGATTATGTAGGAGCCTCATCCGGTTTCCCTAATGCTTTACAACTGTTTTCTAATGCATTTCTTTAAAATAATTAGAACTATTAAACATCTGCTGAATTTCAGGATTTTTTGTAGTTTAATGACAGAACACTGTAATAGTAAAATTAAACTTTCATCTCAAACACAGCTG